TTTATTATTTTCAACGTTGTCTGGCTATCTGGCTCAAAACATACATACACCCGTTCACGCTTTCATTCAGCTACGATCGACCGACGCCGTAGAATCGTTTGGAAGACGCTGCTTGATTTTTTGTTTATGGCTTCATAAGCATGTGCGCAATTTTGTTTTACGATCAAAACAACCATGAATAAACAGGCAAAAGCAATTTTCAAGTGCTTTCCGAATTTTAATAAGTTATTTGTTGAAAATAAAAGTATTTAGTAGAATAAAAAAAATTAAAACTATAGCGGCTACATATACATATGCAGAGCGGAAATGCCTTTTGACTTCATTCTATCGAATTTTAATGGCACACTTCAGCACTTCAACCAACAATCCAAATCGAGGCACTATAAGTTTGTGGGCAAATATGACTCATTTGAATGGGCGGCACATCGTGCAAGCGCCACTGTTCATGCATACTTAGCGCTAAAGCGTACTCAATCGCAGAAAAGTAAACTAAATTATTGCTTGCAAACACATACACATACATATCGTCGTTTAAAGTACAAAACCGCGTATCAACAAAAAGCAAAACCGCGTATGTGAGGTTGCATAAATTATTTGCTGGTGAGTAAAAACATTCGTATTTCAAAATGATTCTCTTTTATGTATATTTCAGGACGAATGGATAAGGCTTGAGCCAAGAGCTTGTGTGAGCAAATCCAATTTTCGGCAGCCAATGTCAGTTACGCGGTTTTGCAGAATGACGATACGCGGTTTTGTACTTTAAACGAAGATATTTACATTTACAGTTGCCCACAAGATTATAAGAGTGCTTTATCTTGACAAATTTTGACTATTTTTCTTTTTTTTTTTTTTTTAATATTTATTAATTTTTAACCCAAATTTTAAACTTTGTCCAAAAATTATAAACATTCAAAAAAATTTTACCAAATTACCATTAAATTTAATTATAATTTAATTAATTACAAAGCTTGAAAACGTCAAAATTGCTAAACGTGTCTCTCAGCGGCTCTACCTTACTAATATTTGTATCATGAGTTTCATTTTCCCCGAACCGGTTCACTTTTCATTTTTGGTTTCCATGTATTTACTATGGGCGGATGTCAAATTTTCGGGTGAATTTTTTTTCGGTCGAAACTCAGGATATGGCAGAATAATATTTGTTTTGAGCGAAAAAATAAAACTCAACTCAAATACATAAGTAGACACTAATTAAATGAAAAATGAAAAATAATTAACTTTTATTGGTTAAACTTGTAAAATATAAACAAAATCGATGGAAATTCCAACAGAACATATACATATATCGCTACCTAAAGGTGAAAAAGAGCTAAGTCCACTTTTTTTCGATTTTTAATTATCGATGCAAAATGACAGATAATATACACAATTAAGAATATTAAGATTCACGTTAGCTGGAGCAATTTGAAAATAGCTCCAAAATAGTTTTAACAAATTAAATTTGGTTTATTTTTTTCCAACAAGTCACTTCCGATGATAAAAGAGTTTAAAAAATTTATCAACGGAATAAATAATTTTTAACATTTTTTTTTCGAAATATTTTGGCGGAAATTTTAAAATAAAATAAATTTTATGATTCCGGTGAAAAACCCGCAACTTTTTTCTGCGACGCACCCGCTGTGGTGTAGTAGTAAGCAGTGCGCGCTTCCACTCCGCAGGGCCTGGGTTCAAGCCCTGATCAAAGCAACATCGCAACAAAATATGAAAAAGGGGGTTTTCTTAACAGCGGTCGCAGGCACTGGCAAACCTCCGAGTGTATTTCTGCCATGAATAAACAGCTTGTCATAAAAATACAATCGCCGTTCGGAGTCGGTATAAAACTGGCTAAACACTAACATATCTCACACCGTCTTCAAAAGAGGCACAACTCTAAATTTGGCATTGTTGAAAGTATGCGCTAAAAATGTACACAGAGCTTTTATTTACCTTTCAGCAAAAGCTAGAACAAATTTTTGTTAACATTTGTTTAAAAAGACCCCCAAGGTTAAGTTCCCACTGCACATATGATTAGCATGTGCTAAGAAAGAGTTTTTCGCATTTTCTGACAAGCGTGTAATTTTGAGTTGTGCCCCTTTTGAAAATGGTGTGCGATATGTTTAAGCGCCGATCTATTAATATATTTTGCACAAGTGCGCTCGGGTATACAAATAAAGTGGGGGAAATACATGAATCGAGAGGATGTCGAACGTGGCGCCTGGCATCCTTACGTGGTTCACTGCCGGTATTTTCACGACGTCGACTTTCATTACCAGTTCTAGGCTGATTTTATTGGCCAGGTGGTAAAAAGTGTGGCGGACAAAAAACTCGAAATCCCGCCTTGAACCAAGAAGCTTTACCAGAAATTCAGTTCGTAGCATAGTTGAAATCAATTTCTGGTTGTGTGTGTTGTTGTAGCGGCTAACTTATTACTTAGTCCTGGTTATCAATCCCAACCAACGGGAGGCCTAAGAAGTGTGCTCCACGGACTGGGTTGGACCAGGGGTCCAGGGGTGTTAGTTGAGTGGTGTTTAGGCGGCATGGGAAGAGGTGTGTCGAGTTATGGGGTTACTCTCCGCATGCCTCCAGCATCCAGAGCGTAGTTGTTCTATGGTTGTTTTATGAATGGGGAGTATTTGGACCACGTCCTGTATGTGGTGTTCAGGCAACATCAGAAGTCATTCCGCGGCGGTCGGGAGTGCAGTGTTTTGGCAGGAATGTAGCTTAATCCACTACGTCGTACTACTCCCCAGCGACCAAGCGATGTTGCGGCTCTGTACTCTTAAGCAGGGTTGTTGCGAATATTATTCCGAAATAAAAGTCCTTTCCGGATAATAAACAAACCGCCTGTCCAAATTAAACAAATTTGGTATCATATAAAAGAGGACTGAAATAGATTTTAAAAAGAAGTAGCGAGCGACCTCTATTTATATTTTTTTTATAATTTAATACTAAAGAAATGAATATACCTTACACAAGGTTTGTTCTATGGTAATTAATTAACATTTTCATTGAAGTATTTTTCAGTATGTGGGTTTCCTCGTATAGACATTTCAGTTTTAAAGCTATTTAAGTCCTCTTTGATTTGATACCACACTTGTTTAATTTGGATAAGCGATTTGTTCATTATCCGGAAAGAACTTTTTTTCGGAATAATAGTTGCGATCACGTACGAGTCCGGACTAGTCAGAATCAGTCAGATTTTACTGGAAATCGATCCCGTACTCTGTTCTCTGACTATTGAGAGGACAAAAAAGAGAGTAAATACGGTTCTCTCTCTGTCAGAAGTTACCAGTTTTAGTCCGAGATTTTTTTGCTGGTAAATTCTCGTAAATGTGTCAAACGATCAGCTGTAGTGTGTTTGGCAACCAAATTGTAAACAAAAGAAAAGTGCACTCTGCTAATTTATGTTGAAAAGTATTTAATTACTTGTTTAAGTGGATTCTAATGTATTTGAAAGTATTTTTGGTTATTTGCATGTGTGAGCTGAGTGTGTTTACATACAAAATAAGCAACAATTTACAACCAAAATTTGGAGGTTATGTTGAAGTTAATAGAAGTTACCATTTTTAACTAGAAAGCGATCCCGTACTTTTCAATGTTACTCTCTCGCTCTGAGCGAATTTTTATTTTTTGACAGTTTTACTAGTCCGAGTCCGAGGAATACGGGATTGCACCTAATATTCGCAATAACCCTGCTCTTAAGTATTGACAATTGCGGTTGTGTACGCCGAGAAAGAGAGCAGACTAGCAAAGGTAACTCGGAGTATTTTCGGGTTGTTCAGTCGGAATTGATTCGCGGTCGTTGTGAATTCCCAGCTGTAGTCGGACTCCGTTGGTCCAGGTGCTGAAAAGTGTTCCCGAGGATTTCGTAAGGGACGGGGTTAGGCTCCTTGCAGTGAAAAATCGTCATTAAATGAAATGATGGAGACTACCTCTGGTGGCTGAGGGAGCTTCGAAATATAGAAATTGGGCAGAAGCGGTGAAAGGAGACCACTCTGTGGAACCCACTGTTTAATTATATTTGGTTTTGACGTTTTGTCTTCGAAGATGACTGTCGCTACTTGGACTTTTCGCTCACAGGGGGGTTTCTCTTAAGACCGGGAGTTATATGAATGTTTATGGCGTTAAGAGCTGTACACGGAAGACCCAAAAAGCGTGCAGCCTCTATAGGGTATGTCCACAGGGACAAAGGCGATAGTCGTGTGATGTTTTCCGGGCACACGAAGAGAAGTGTCGAGTCGTTGGGTGTCTCCTCGCATGCCGGACACTCATTTGGCACATATGCATCTAATCTACTCAGGTATGAGTTTAACCTGCTGCAGTAGCCAGAGCTAAGATGGGCTATTGTGGTCCTAGTCTCCCCGAGGCAGACGAAGCTCCGTCTCGTCGGCGTCAGGTGGTTGTATGCCCAGAACGGCGTTCACAGGTGTGGAGTCTACGTAACTTGAGACTGGCTCCCTGTGAACACCGCTAAAAACCTGTCGGTATGATGACGGGTCCAGAGGTTGCTTAAGTCAAGAATAAGCTGATAAAACGTAGGCTAATTTTTGGCTTAGCCTAGATGGTGAATACGAATAAGTCCAAAAAATGGGTAAACTGAATTGAGTTGGAGAAACGCAGCTATATAGTTGCCTTCTGACATGCCTTGGCGAGGGCCCCTCTGCAAGCAAATGTCGGATCGGTTGTCCACACCTGTGGCTCCCTACTAAGAATTGCTTGCAGAGCATTATGTGAGGCTTTTTTTCTTTTTAAATGGGAATCTGTTAAATTTTTTTGAGCAATTTTTTCCTTTTAGATATGGAACTAAAAAATTAATCTGCCTTATTCTGAGTTTCGCCTGAAAAAAATTCACCCGAAAATTTCTCATCCACCCATAGTAAAACTATGGAAACCCAAAGTGAAAAGTGATCCTGTTCGGGGAAAATGAAACTTATGATAAGGCTGAATAAAAATATTGCTTATTCCTATTAGATATTATTATTATTAGTTATTTACATACATACCTTTCATGTCCTTCTGTCATGATTTGTAATCAGAAAGATTCTAATGTGGTAGCGTATTGTGTCGGTGGTCAATTTCACCATGATTAAAGCATAAAGACATTCAGAGCTGCATAAACTTCCGACCGACTGGACCCAACCGACTGGACCGACCGAACGCCTTCACTGCAGACACAAAACCATGTAGCTCACTCCGAGCACGTTACAGTGGAGTTTTTATTTTTGGCAACGGACCAAAGGAAGGACTTAACGAACGAAAACCAGTGACTGACCAACGATCGCCCGATCGATGGATCCAGTGACCGACCGACTGACGGCGACTAGCGAAGAGTTGTATTGATGATTGTGATTGTGGTTTTATTGAATAATTAAGCGTATTTTGCGTATTGTGGCTTATTCCATTTTTTTTTCACCGAAGTTGCACTAATTTTCTATTTTTATTATTTTTTGGCACGCACAAGTTGAAGACAGTGGACGTCGTCTGCTGGGGGGTGATGTTTTTAGCCGCCGCTGTTCACCAATCACACGCAATTACAAATTTTAGTGGATTTATGTAATTCCTTATTTCTTCTATTACTGTATGGAGGGGATAATATCTTGTCTATTGTTCACATTTCAGCCTAAACAAATTAAAATAAAAATATCGCTGAAATGGCATTCAGTTATATCATTTGCATCAATTCCAAAGCTGCCTCATCCTCATGACAACTCAGACCTATACCTCACTGAAAAATTCTACAGTTGTTGTTAGCAGCGCCTTGAAACTGGTGGGCGATGCAAAGTGGTTTTGGCCAAAAGCGACAGCAAAGATGCAAAAACAAAAACGAAACAGCCAAAATGTGAAGAGACAGGCAGCCATTGCTGCGCCGACGACTGCAACGCATATTCAATTGAGAAAGCCAACAGCAGCCACCAGCAAATTGTGGATACAGCAATGAAATGTTGCTCCAACAAACTCCATCACAGAAAAATCAAAACAACAGCAACAACAAAAAATCTGCGCTATATACGCTTAAAACGCAATAAATGAAAGATGAACAGGATTGGAAGAGTAGACACAGAAACAAGAACAACAAAGTGGATTTTTTGGGCGATTTCTCTTATTTCTTTCTTTACTGCTATTTCGTAAATGGGATTTTTGCTTTGCGTGTGTTTTGCGGCTGTTGCTGGAGTTGTTGAAAAGCACAATGTACATACAGCCATACGTATATACATAGGATGATATACAAATTGGTATTGAGTGCTTTTATCAATGTTGTGGCTTCTATTGTTTGTGACCGCGCTGAGATTTTTGCTGTTCTTTGCCATTTTGTCTTCATTTTTTTCACAATGAAATTTATATACACACAGGAAAATGTTTGTTGGTCGGTGCTCTCTTTTTAAGCAGATTTCCGCAGACACGAGAGAGCGAACTCTGCCACCGCTGCAGCTACAGCTTTCGTTGACCAAAATCTTCTGCCCGAAAGCATATAAATTTCGGCTCATCCTTTTGAAATAACGACTGAATATATTTTCGACTATTTTATAATACTTCCATATTTTTTTAGCACCTAAAAACTTTAGTTATCTATTTTATTATGTAAAACACTTGTGCGTGTGGTGGACTTTTCTTTCCGAGTTTGAAAGACTTTAGAAAAGTGTTTTAACATCAATGTCCTTCTCAGATACATCTTGGTGCCACAGGCAACAACAGCATTTGCTGACTATCTATTTTTTGAATGGTATCCTTGGGCAGGGCCATAATTTAACAAGTCGAAATATCTCTTTTTTTCATATTTTTCCTTTGTATACGTATACAAAGATATATGTATCATTAGTTATTGATTCCAGGATCACAAGCCCATTATTTAACTTTTAGAAAGCAAGTAACAAAAACTTCCAAAAATTATGGCTTTTATAACTTCAAAAATTATTTAGTATGCGGTGCATACTTATGTCAACGCGAGTGCTGCTGGGCGCGTCGATTTCAACAATCCCCAGCGTGTATTGGAATTTTTTCTCTATATTGGATAACACGAACTGTCGTTTTTGGAGGAAGACTGAAAATTTTCATGCACGCACAAGCAAACGTACGCCTGAGCCACATATGTGTATTGGCAATCGCATAGCAAACACCACCAACGAATTTTCCTAACTTTTCCACTTCTACCACTGCTTCTTCTTCTTAAAATTTTCATTTTTGCTTCTGCAGATTTTTTAACATCTCACTTAATTTGCATTTGCAATTTTCATACCTAACATTCACTTTATTCATCCTCTGGGTTATTGCGATATTTTCTACATTATTTTTATAGAATTTATTTATTTTCTCCTTGATTAAAAAATTGCGTGAACATTTTCACCACCACTAGTTTTCCTGATCCGCGTCGTTCCGTCTGCCCACTTTGACTGCGCTGCAACTGCTCTGCTGCTGGTTGTCGCCCCTATTTTTCATTTTGACGTCTTTCTTTGCTGATATCCTAAACGGTTTGGGACAATAATGCACTCCGGAATCGGTTTGGGTTTTATTCATTTGACGTTTGACAGCTCTGTCATTTTCCACTTGCAATGCAGCCAACTTAACAGCAATAGTTTCTTTTCGTTCGGTGTGCGTACTTTTGATGACTGAAGGCGGTCGGAAATTTTAGAAAAAGTGCAAATTTTGTGTCCAATATGGCTAAAAAGAAAAGTGAAGAGTACGGAGCCGATGGCAATGATGGGGACTATGAAGAGGAACCAAATTTCGAAGATCCCGAAGGCTATGTCGACGATATTCCCGACGATGGTAAGTGCCAGCGCAGCACTACTGCACCGCTGCTGATCAGCGAATTTGCACGCCAAGCACCTTATTTGCAACATAACCTCAAAATGGGTTGCAAGCAGTGAAAATTGAATAATTTTGACATTTGTGCAAAAATATTACTCATAAGTTGTAATAAAAATATAACAGCTTGTAAATATGTAATTTGCAGAGCTGTTGGCCAATATGTTGGCGCAGCGTCCTCTGGAGACGGATGGTGTTGAAAGTGTTGTTGTTGTAGACAACATTCCGAAGGTAGAGCCATCCCGATTGGAGAAATTGAAGTCGGTTATTCATAAATTGTTCTCGCAATGCGGTGAAATAGTGAATGTAGTGTTCCCTGTGGATGATGAAGGCAAGACTAAGGGTTACGCTTTCATGGAATACAAGAACGCCAGCATGGCTGAAGAGGCGGTCAAGACCTTAAATAACCATCGCCTTGATAAGAACCACACTTTCTCCGTTAATTTATTCACCGATTTCCAGAAGTAAGTGCTTTTTTTTATGAATTATTAATATCACATCTAAATATTCCTATATTTATTCAGGTACGAAAATATTCCCGAAAAATGGGAGCCTCCTACTCCTCAACCCTTCAAGGTACAGAATGATTTGTACACCTTCATTACTGATCCAGATGCCTACGATCAATACAGCGTAGCCGCTGAAACTGCGCCCAGCTCTGTTCAGGTTTCGTTTTGGCAGAATACACTTCCGGAGCCCAATGAATTGGAGTCTCGGGAGCGTTTTACTGATACGTTTGTCAAATGGTCGCCACTGGGTACCTATGTGGTCACCTTTCATAAACCCGGTGTAGCTATTTGGGGAGGCAGCAGCTTTCAAAAAATTCAGAAGTTCCCACATCCAAGCACACAATTCGTAGAGTTTTCACCTTGTGAGAATTATCTTGTCACCTATGGGCCAACGCCTACCGGTCAAAAGGTCATAATTTGGGATATTCGTACGGGTGTTGAGAAACGCTCATTCGTCGCAGATGGCATGTCTGTTTTGTCAATGTTCCGCTGGTCGCACGACGATAAGTTTGTTGCACGTTTGGGCGACCACTCAATACATATTTACGAAACACCCTCATTTTACCTGCTCGATTTGAAATCAATCAAGATTCCTGGTATTCGCGGATTTTCATGGTCACCTACGGACAATGTGATTGCCTATTGGGTTGAAGAACAGAATCAAATTCCCGCTCGTGTCACTCTGATGGAGATTCCCAAAAAACGTGAAATACGTAACAAAAACCTCTTCCATGTGGCTGACTGTAAGCTACACTGGCAAAAATCTGGTGACTACCTCTGCGTAAAAGTTGATCGCTACTCGAAATTGAAGAAAGACAAGAAGGAATTAGATGTAAAATTCCTGGGCATGTTTTACAATTTCGAAATCTTCCATATGCGCGAAAAAGAAATCCCTGTGGATTCGGTGGAGATACGCGAATTAATTCTTGCATTTGCTTGGGAACCAATAGGTAACAAATTCTCCATTATCCATGGAGAACAGAGTAACGCAAATGTTAGCTTCTATGAGGTCAACAAAGGTGTAAAACCTACACTTGTTAAGAAGTTGGAAAAGAAGTCATGTACGCATTTGTTCTGGTCACCACGGGGTCAATTCATTGTAATGGCTAATCTCTCGATGGGTACCTTTGAATTTGTGGACACCAATAACGATTTCATTATCTCTGCATCGCCCGATCATTTCCGCGCCTCTGAAGTCGAATGGGACCCAACCGGTAGATACGTTGTGACTGGAGTATCAGCGTGGAAAGTAAAGGAAGATACTGGATTCAATATGTATACCTTCCAGGGACGTATAATACGACGCACCATATTGAAGAATTTCGTACAATTTTTATGGCGCCCTCGTCCACCCACATTGTTAACGGACGCACAACAAAAGGATATCAAAAAGAACTTGAAGAAATACTACCCAATATTTGAACAAAAGGATCGCTTGCGTCTTACACGTGCTTCGAAGGAACTACTTGAGAAGCGTGCACAATTGCGCGAGCAGTTTATGGAGTACCGCAACAAGCGTATTGCGGAATGGAAGGAGCAGAAGAGCCGCCGTATGCAGCTCAGAAATCGTAAGTTTAAAACGCCAAAAATAAAACAGTTGAATGAACTTAATATGTGTGCAATTATTATTTTTTTTTTGAATACAGACGTTGACACTGACAGTTTGGATACCGAGGAAGTTGATGAAGAAGTCGTTGAATTTTTAGTCAAGGAAGAAGTAACTGTGCTCGAGTAGTCGACCAACAGGTTTGCGATTTTCCAAAAAAGCATACGCCTTTGAAATTGATTTACAAAGGCGTAGTTTTTCATAAAAAAAAGAACAACAATAAATACTACATAAATATAAAGGTCATCAAGGCACTGATTGAACAAACACAATAAGAAAAAAAAAACAAGTGAAGAAAACGTGTACCAGCTTGTTTTTATTATTTATATTTATACAAGAGTTCTTTCAGACGCATTTGGCATACTAACTTCTAACGCTGCACGCGTTGCCGACGCACAAGATACCACAAGTGCGTCCGATTTTTTATTTTTTTTTTTATTAACATTGCATTCAATATTGGACTTATATTTAACTGAAATTGTAATTGTAATTTTTTCGAATCAAAATTAACAGTAAGCTGCCAAATAACAGCTATCCGACGATTTCCACGTTCTTCCCTCCCTTAACACTGTTTTGTATAGTAATTTTTACAGTATAAAGCCTTAAAATTTATCTAAATACATATACATTTTGTTAATTTATTTTTCTTTGTATTTAATTTTACTTGAAGCGTACAAGTACACATTTACGTAGTATATACATATAGGAACGTAATTTTCTTATAAAATGTTAACAAATCTAGTGAATGTCTATACTGGTAGTTATGCTGTACTCATTATGCTGATTTTTAACAAAATTAAATATAAATTTGCACTATATTTGTATGCCATAAGCAAAAGAAAAACGAAAAAAAAAAACAAAAAAAAATGTGTATCTTTTATTCAGTATGCAAATTTCGTGAAGAAAGGCAAGTGCGAAGAGTTGCATTGCTTATTCGTTGAAAATAAAATAAATGATTATCTTTAAGTGTTGCAACTTGCAAGGCTTCGTACGTACATACTTATTATTAATTTGAAATTGTTACTTTACATATAGTAGAGAACATTTTCTCACAAGGTGTGTTCGTACTGTGGCCACATTAGGCCTAGATTTCTCTCGCGTGTAGCTTAGAAATAACATTGCATACAACTAGAAGGTGGAGTGGCATATTTTCGGTCGATTCAAGGGAGCGGGACGCCAACGTTTCACCAAAGAACTATAAAACAACACTACCAATTTTTTATAAGATAGCCAGAAGTAATCTATAATTATAAACCACAATAAGTTTTACATTAAAAACGGCCTCAAGCTCAATAAAAATTGTTGAATATAATTGTTACAAGGCCATAAAATAACAAAACAAATAACTTAAGAACGAGGACTCCTAAAAGTTAAACATTCTAATAATAGAATTCTTAACAAAAACCAGCAAAACCAACAACGAAATTATCAAGTTTAAATTGCACCGGAATAGCTGCGCTTGATTGTAGTTGGCTCAACAAATGAATTAGTGCAAAAAAGCAACAAGAATTCTCAAGCCGAACTTAGTACAGTGCGTAGGCAACTGGCTGAGTCAGTGGGATCGTCGGTTCGAATCCTACTGAAAGAAGTCTGATGAGGAAATGTGGTGATTTCCGAAATAGCTATCACTTGTACCATTTTTTGAAATAATTGTTGCTTTTCCACAATTAGTTTTTCATTAAAAACGGCCCCAGCTCAATAAAAATTGTTGAATATAATCATAAACTATAACCAGTCGTTCCAACGCTGAATTCGTGAATGTCTTAACCGGAGTGTAACTGCTATCTGCATTAGCGGAATAGCTTAGAACTCTTACATCCGATTTTTCAGGTAATCAGTGCTTTTCAGCGTGTATCTCAGTAAAGCGCTGAACAGCTAAAATTACTTGCTTTGGAGTTTTACTCTTAGTATAGCTGAGTCTGTTGGGGAAATACACACTTCAGCAGCCAGCAGCCACGAAAAAATCGGCCTTAAATGGATTCTGTGATAGCCTTGATTAATACAATAACAACATCAGAGTCCAGGCTGCCTGATGGGCAATTTTTTAAGGTATTGTTTATCGGCCTCCAGTAGGGGCAAGGCACGTTACCTTGAAAAGTCCCAACTGTGATTTGGCTCGAAATCAAAAGACGCTAACAGCCATTTCGAAAAGTAATTTTTGCATTAACTTCAGCAGCATATAAAACAACAGGAAAGGAACTTCTATGGTTTCATGGATGAACTAACATAAAAATAAACTTCATAAACACTACTTTAATCAACAATAAAAATATACCACATTCATCCCATACGAACAATTGTGCTTTTCACACGATGTTGCCTTGGAAACCCACTAAAACGGGCAAACACTCCACTCTACACAACAAATGCAAATCTTCCATTGTGAAAGTTTCCACGTTGACTAAATAAATTGAAATTAATTTTAAAAAAATCGAATAATGAGCGGTCGTCAAGCTCAGCGCCGAAAGAAGCAAGCGAAGGGCAAACGGCTAAAGAACCAAACGCAAACCAGTCGCACAAAGTCCAAGCGTCGCAAATCGCGACCCAGCCGCGAGTACCAGGACAACGAGCGTGAGGTGCAACTGCTGCTGGAAAACACAAGTCTTTCAATCGACAGCAGCCCGCAATCCCGTCACGCAGATGAGCTAGTACGTAGTTTGGACTTCTTTTGCCGCAACAATGAGGAGGAGTTGATACAAACAGCGAGCTCTGCAACGCGTAAGTTGAAATTGAAACGAGAGCACATCCAGCGGCAAAGGGATAGTTATGAAGGAAGTATTGATGAAAATGCTGAGGAGGCGGAAGAGGACGCATCGCAGGATGACCTAACAAGCGCCGATACGCAGGACGATGATGCCTCCAGCGGCAGCGAGCACACCGCCTCAGCTGCATCTACGCAACAACGTGAACACACCGCTTCTACATATATACAAGTGGATGAAGATGTGCTAGTACGACTGCGTGCGGCTGACAAATTTATGCAAGACCCTACGTTGCTTTTCAAACCTGGCACCACTCTCATGCCGGATATCGCCTTGGCTGCACGTACCGCTGAAGATGCTGGTAAGCTAAAGTCATTGCGCGCCAACACATGTCGCATGCTCAACCGTTATCAAGCAGAGCGGCGCGCAAGAGATGAGCCGGTGTGCAAAGAGTTAGTGGAACAGCTCAAGCGCGTACAATCGGGCGCGTCGCTTTATATGAAAGACCGAACGCTCTATCGCAGCTTTTGCACCCACAAATTTCATACGATCTTCTGCGAACCAACGCGACAACCGGACGAGATACCCACACGCAAATTCGTGCGCATATACTTGAAGGAGCTGCTCTTCACCGCGCATCCACATTTGCTGGAAGAACACCGTATCTCAAATGAGCTGGAGGAGCTTTACGAGCAGTATGCGCATCGCCAGCAGGAGCGTGTTTGTGAGAAACTGCGCGCACAGCTGCAAACGGAGCGCCGTGTAGTAAATGAGCTGCTGCAGCGCGAGTCGAACAGCAGCGCTGAGCTAGAGTTGGCGAGCACAAAAGAGCGGCGTGCGCGCAAACTCGAGCAGCAGCTGCACGGTGTGCGTGCGCTACGCAATACGCTCTATGAGGAAGAGGCGCGTTCCAAGCGGCTACTAAAAGATATACTCGACATTTGGGTGCGGTTGAAGCAGCTACGGAAAACGCAGGCGTATCAGAGCACGCGCTTCAAGCTGCGCATCAGAGTGGAGGAAGATGCAACCAATGCGGCGGCGGAAAGTCATCGCTGGGCGGAACGTTTCGAAACGGATTTGAATGAGATTTATCGCGAAGAGTTGGAGATTTACTATCGCGCCAAGCGACTGTGGAAGTCGCGCGATCGCAAGGCGGACTTGGCAGAGCTTCCGGTGAAGCCGCGCAAACCGGACATCACGCAGCTATCCACGGAACTGCGCGCCAAGCTGGCCGAGTGCTTGTGCGCGCCGGGCGAACCCAAGATCCATGTGCAACTACATCGCGTCTGCAATGAGGAGTTCTACAATCTGCCTGGGCTGCGGCGTCTAAAAAGTTTCTTTATGAAAATATATTTCGATGGCGAGTTTGTTAGCGCAACGCGCAGCTATCGCATCGAACCCGATTTACGGCTACCAATGAACGAGGTGTTTGGCGTGTTTCTGGAGCGTCGTATGCCAAGAGACATACGCGTAGCGGTAAATAAAGAGGCTGTGCTTAGGCGGCGATTCTTTTATTCTGTACTTTTAAATGTTGCTTTTTGCAGCTCTACGAAAAGTTCCGGCTGCATGCGGCGCGCAAAGTTGTTGACATCCAAGTGCCAGTACCGCACGCGCTGCAGACTGCTGACACGGAGGAGCAACGCGTCACATTTGATACGCAAAAGCTGCCTAAGGTTAGCGGTCGCCTCACTATACGTTTCCAATGCGAGGAGCAGACGGATTTCGGTGCTCGCTGGCATGTGCCAAGCATTACAACTGCCGCCGCGTCGCTAACAAGCTCACCTTCAAATCGAGCGCGTGCACGAAAATGGCAAGCGGAACACTTGCTTGCGGAGTTTGACGAAAATGTTTCACATGTCGATGAAGACGAGACGACAACTGAAGCAGCAGAGCCCACAGAAAGGTCACTAACCGAGCCAATTCGCACCTGCACGTTTGAAGAGGAACTCCTACAATTCTGCGCCGTTGAAGAGTTAGAAAACAATCGGCGCTACAAGCTGCTACGTTCGCGTTATTTGAAAAATGATGCACGCACGCGTGACCTGCGCTTCATAGCACCGCTCGACAATGAGCTCGAATTCGATTGGCCCGACAAGGAGGAAGCGGTCATTGAAGCAGGCGATTGGATGGATGCGATCGACTTGCACAAGCATGAGGGCAAGAAATATCTGAAGGAACTTTATGAAGCGATACGTAGCCAGTGCGCACGTTTGAGCACAGCAGCTGCGAGTGTGGAACAACTACTGATCGGAGATGTGCCGGCCAGTTGGAGGTGCGTCACGGAGAGGTGCGACTGCTGTGCATTTTTCTGATGAATTCCCTTTTTTACATTTCACAGCACATTCTTCCAAGCTTTAAGTTTAATTTTCAACCCGAAACGTACACTAAGAGCGCCACTGAGCCAACAACCGGTCGTAACGCATGCGCTATCATTGGATATGAATGCTTGCCAAAACTTCAGGATCGTTTTGAATGTTGTGCGCGCCACTGGGATACCGGTGCGCATGCCGAGCTCAGCGGATAGCGAGAGTAAAGAGCGCAGTAACGAAAGCCCAAATATGTTCGTGAGTCAACGTAAGTTTGCGACGCATACACTTCTCTTCAAAGCGCTTTAAGCTTTCGATATTGTTTTTAGTTTATAAATACTCCAACGTCCGACCTTTCATCGCTTTGAGTTACAAGGACAAGTTTTGTCGCTCGCTAACTGTCGAGGGCTCGAATCCGACATGGAATGAACAGCTTATTTTAGAGTTAAGGTACTTGATGGCCTACATAATTTTCTACGCCTGTCATAAAGTTTTCATAACAACTCTGTTCCACCAGCGGTAGCTTAGCTGATCTGCGCGAAGATCTCAAGATTTCACTTTTTGACGAAGTGGTTGAGAACCACGTTAACGAGGATCTTAGCGTGCGCAATATGGATATTTATCAGCGCATACAAACCAATTGGTTGGGTGAATATCGTTTTCCGATCCACGCATTGCTGTCGCAGCAAAAGGTTTGCAGAATGTCTCACACGCAGTTCGATTCCCAACTCGCTGCCATTTATTTTATTTTTCTCGGTTTCCAGCTTGAGGGTGTGCTCGAACTCAATACCCCCAAAGTGCTGCTCGGCTACAAACAACCCACGTTGGAACACATCACTTCGCAAGCTGACGTCAATATAACTATCGAGCAATTCCCCGAAATCAAAGAAACCGTACGCCTCTGGTACTACATGAGCATTGAGCCGCATATAACGCTGCCGCGTCTAAATACCGCTTGCCTGGAATGCGCCGAACTGAAAGAGGTGCGTCGTCAGCTGCAACAATGGTGTCTACAAGTGCAGGAGCTGCGTCCACAACGTTACATCGAACCGCTGGTTTGCACAGCCGAGGGTAAGCGTGTATGCCTGACGCGTCTCCTAGAGCCAGTACCACTGCCGTTGGAGACGAGCGAACATCAATTGGAGCTGGTCTGCCGTTTTGTCGCGCAGCTGAATGTATTGAAGGGGTTTGATCCTTGCGCATCCTTCGAGGGTATTTGGCTAAACAATCAGTGTGTACTGGATACCAATTGGGGTACGGTGAAGGATTTGGGTGTGCTGCTGTGTAATTTCCTGCTCAGCATTGGTTTGAGTTGCTGGTTGGTGCTTGGCTTTGCGGCAGCATATGGCGAATGTGCTTTTGTTTTGTTTAGAAGTGAGGAGGGTGAGCTGCTGCTGATCGATCCGTACACTGCCAAGCGTTATGGCACACGTGATGTCTTTTGTCCGCTTTATAAGATATGCCTTGTGGTGGCGCAGGACAATGTAAGTGTGTGTGCGTTCGAAGGAATGTGATTGCCGAACTGTGTCTAAAAAAAGTTAATCTCTCTCAATTGTCTGCAGTTATATTGCAACATACAGGCTGAATCACGCGTGACAATGACAAATTATAATTTCAACGATGCATCCTTTTGGCTGCCAGCCTTCAGTAAACGCAACCCTGCTCCTTTAGGTGGCGTACAAAAGTTGAACTATAGCTATCAGCTTAGCTGCAATACTTTTGAATTGAAGCGCAATATTGAGCGCAAAGTAATGAAGAAAATAAATTCGTGGCGCGCAATGCGTAAGACCATTTGGAATCGGTAAGTTGTGGTGGGAAGAAAGTGTATTTGAAATTTTTAATTTTTCCAAAATTAAAAAAGTCCAGCTGTTTACCTTAGTTTAACCTCTTTCGAACTCTTACATAAACCAGCGCTTTTCAGCCACGTCTTCAAAGCATTCTTCAGAACTTGGAGCAGTTTTGTACTTCCGGTAATGGTTCATACGCGGAGGCCAAATATGCAGATCAAATAGCAGCCGAGTTCCCTAATTATAAGGTAATTAAAAAGGTCTACATATTTTTTGGACTTAATTCTGGGACAATTCCAGTTTCAACATAAATTTTGAAGCTGTAGAAAAATAACACGTTTTTCACGAGCTGAAATGTTGTGTAAAAAATATGATCTACAGTTAAGGAGTAACCAATCCTCATTGTGCATTTTTGCAAAGTTCCTATTTCCCACCTGTTAGATGTCGGTTAGACTTTGGAAGAATAGTTTGACAAGTTTTCGAAAGTGAAAACGGATATGAATACGAATACGAAAAAGGCTAAGGGTCTGATTATGCATACTTCGCATAACTTCGCACAACCATTTGTACCAGTGCACTAAAAGTGCAACTTAAGAAAATGTAAAGCAAAATCTAAATTCAACAGATCGCTAAGTTTTTAAAATTTCTGATAATTTCTGGGTAATGAAATACATACAAAATACATACAAAGTACACACGAAATTACAGTTTCAAGTTTATGCGAAGTTGTGCAAAGTTATGCGAAGTATGCATAATCAGACCATAAGATTCCGGTTAATCTTAAGCTTAAGACAAAGTTCTGAAATTTGAAGCGAACTGGAAATCTTTTTTTTTTTGTTTTTTGCATCTTCCAAGAGAATTTTTGTGGTTTCAAAATTTAAATTTTTTCAGGATTGGGTAGTGTGACTATCAAGGAGTTTTTATAAAAATATGCTTTATAGAGAAATTGTTAAAAAAAAAACACTACAAAGCCGGTCGAATTTCGACAGTAACCGATACTCCTAGTACATATTAACGTCATAACACGGGTGTTTTTAATACCCAACCTTGTGATTAAAATTTTCGTCATGTTATGCCAAGTGGAAATACGGCAGGTCTTTTTCTATAAACATTTGCCTTTAAGTATTACTGTGAACATGCAATTGCCATAATAAAATCTAACCAAACCCAATTTAATTAAACAAAATTTTAATTTCGTCGTTATTTTCCATTCATGCAGATCTACGGTTATGCGCTCAACTTTCCCTACACAAATTTAACATCAATTTCGGAGCGTATCAAGTCCACTGGCATACATTTGAATACAGATAAACGTGTCGAATTTTGTTTGGCAACACACATCCACATTTATCCCAATGATGTGCTCTCAGTGTGGATATTTCTCATATCGGTAATACCAAATCGGTTTTAATAGAAATAAGAACAATATTTTGCGTGTCAATATATGAAAGATTTGCAGAGAGCTGACTGCAGGTAAGTCAAATTTTATGCATAAACTAAATGTTTTGAGGTGGGACTAATAACGTGGGACTACAAAAAAAAATCGATTAAAGTTTATTTTGACTAGGCCACCTCTTTTGTATCCATATTTTTGGGCTCACTGAAGACGAGTTTGAAGTCCGGTTTGGTCCATCGCGTCAAGATTTTTTTCTAACCTCAAAAGTCCCAGCGGAATCCAGGGGTTTTTAGAGTCGCTGATCACGAATGTGAAGTCAGTTTTTTTAAAACCAATATGAAGGAGCTTATGTGGCAACCGAAATTAAAAAAATTCGAATTTATATAAAACTTGGTATCCGGGGGATTTCGAGGTCGGTGATTACGAACTTAAAGTTCGATTTTCAAAATTGCAAATTGCGGCTCCAATATGGTGGTCGAAATTTTTACAAATCATTAAATTTATAAAAAACTTTGTATATAGAGGGTAAAATAAAAAATATAAAAAGTGGTACGTACATATAGGTTTTTGAGGTTGTTGATTACGAATCTCAAGCCAGATTTCTGAAATCGAAATCCAAAAGGTGTTTTAAAAGATGACCACTGACTTTAAATTTCGAAAAATTTCTTATGTTATTCGATTACTTTCAAATTCAATATGTATATTTTTTTTAATTCGATCCGTCATTTTAGAGTTTGAAAGTTTTACTTCATATTCGTAATAAGCGACCCTAAAAACTCCTGACTGCCAAGATTAAATAAATTCATGAATAGTTATAAAATTTTGTCTGTCACATAAAATCCGCCAGGTTTATTGAGAACTACAGATTCGTGTTCAGTGACCCCAAAAACATATAAAACACCTGGTCTGGTCAAAAGAACCTTTCATCGATTTTTTTTTTGGTCCTGCGTAATGATAAATAAAACTCTTTTGAAATGAAAAGAAAATAGACTTAAAAATCAAATTTGAATATAACATACATACTTACATACTTATTTTTATCTACAGGCCTGCAAATATAATTTTATCTAGTTTTCCGTGAAAAAAAATGGTTCGCTGTTACTGATAAAGGGTTTCCTAATAAATTAGTGCAGAAAATGCCGCTTGTTGGCATAAGACCTACTACATGCATAACTAACCTATTCATACATAAGTACATACATACTATGTATAGTACAAATTTCAAAACAAAATCGCCTTGATCGCCTGATAGCTTTGCAGGCTTGGTGGTTATTTTTTAAACATTTTTTTTTTCTAATCAAACGATGCGCAACGGAAAGCCGGCAAAGATAATAAATGCACCAATAAATAAAATAAACGGTGTGTTGTTTGATAAGCTACAAATCCAAGGTAGTTATCTATTTTTTGTTTCTTCAATTTGGCTATAAAATATTTTACAACTATCAGTTGAAAGGGTGCGAGTGGACTTGCTAATACGTTAGTCTGAAATTAATGTCAAGCTTTGGCGTTTAACTGGACGCGTTAGAAAAAAGTATTAAACAACTCAAACAAAACTGCAAAAAAAAGCAAACTAAAACCAATATTAATTCAAAAACACATCAAAGTATGAAAATACCAAACTAAAATTGCATACTAAGTAGCAGTGCTAACCAATTTTTTCAATATATTGGAAAATTCGTCTGCGCATCGGCGTCGAGCTCAAAAGAAGTTTGCACAAACTTTTTTTTATATATATACTTTTTCCTTAAAGTTATTTTGGTGTTGCTGCCAATTAAAAGCGCCAAAAATGTTTTTGAAGACACAGCATATTTTTCAACGGGCATTTAATTACATTAAATGGCTTTTCATGCTCTACGAATTGAATACACAAATTTCGATATGTGAGCCCTGGGAGCGAGTGTTCTCGCGTAAGTTGAAAATAAGAGTTAAAGTTTTCTGTTTTAAAAACAAATAGTCATACTAAAACTAGAAAAATGTACCCAAAATTAAAAAACACATTTTGGAAAAACCTAATTTTCAGAAAAAATGCACTTTAAGAAAACATAAATAAAAAACATTTTTGGAAAAAAAATTAAAAAAACGGAGTAATTTTTAAAAAAATATTACTCTACTCTTACATATCTATAGAAAAAATTAATTTCTTAAAAAATGTTTACTAAAAGCAGAAAAATTATCTTAACAGAAGCAAACTTTTGTGTGGAAAAAAATTAGTGTAAATTGAATTCTAAAAAATAAGTTTTTTCAAGAAAATATTGGGTTTTCTATCTAACTCCAAAAAAGGAGAAGGTTCTCATTTCGTCGTGTATATTTTTAATTGTAGGCTTACCTACCCGAAAGGTGCTTCAATGCTTTTAAAAAAGTTTTTTATTTTATGCTTTTTTCAAGAATCTTACATATATAAATATTCATACCAAAACTAGAATAATTTACTAAATATTAAAAACCAAATGTAAAAAAAAAATATTTGTAGCAAATAGTAAATTTTTACGAAAAAATACACTTGTAGCAAAGTCTCATTTTTAGAAAAAAATTAAATTTAAGAAAGAAAGAGTAAGTTTTAGTATAAAATTACTGTAAACAATTACATATCTATAGAAAAAATATTTTATTAGAAAAAAATTACTTAAAAAAAATATTAAAAGCAAACGAAATTTTTCAAAAAGAAACAATTATTTTACGGGGAAAAAATTTGAAGAAATTAAATTCTTAAAAAATACTTTTCATTTTTATTTTTCTAAGAAAAAATCTGATTTTTTTTTTTCAACTTAAAAAAAATGTGCAGGTTCTCATTTCGTGGTGTATATTTTTATAGTAGGCTTACGGTACCGTAATGGTTAAACGTCGCATAGCGATTTCTACTTATAAACATCAACATTTTTTTGTATAGCTTTGAAAAGTGATTGCAAATTTCGTAGTTTTTGTTTTATTATAACAAAAATAATGCTCACAGTGATTAAATTTGTCTGAATGCTAAGCATACCTAAAACTGAATTCAAGTACAAACTAAGAGAAAATATTAAAAGATAATAATTATTTTACTTTGTGTTTAAGTAAATGACTGTTTATCAGACTAAAAAAAAAGTACGCTGAAAAGGTCGTTCACAGTTGATAAAATGTTCTGTGTTCGTATGGAATAGTGGCTTATGTCGAAAGGCTGGCTTTAGTATAATACGGCATTCGCAGCATACGATTGCGAATGACTCACCGGCGCCAAGCGGTTGAAGAACTTTTGGCAAACTAAACGTGCGAGAAATAGTACCGATACTATCAAGTCAATATTCTTATTAAGTCTCATCAAAAAATTCCTTGTGGTTTAAAGAATAAAGGGGATGCCGCATTATACTAAAGCCAGGTTCTCGACATAAGCTACTTTCCATACGAACACAGATTTATTGCATACACTTTTTGAATTGGAAATTGATTTATGAATTCATAGAAAGAAACTTACAATAGGGGTATTCACGATCCGGTGCATACTGTCTTGCAAGGTGCATAGATAGCATGATTGGCTAATCTTGTTGTTGTTTGAACACATGAAACAACAACAATCATGCTATTTATGCTATCTAAGCACTATGCTAGACCGCATGCACCGGTTCGTGAATACCCCTAATGAAACTTTGGAATTTTCTGTACTTGCGTACGCCCATGAGTGCATATGTCATAGTATGTAAAGTCCGACCGCTTAATCGGCATCGGCTAGTATCGGCACAAAATTGAGCATCGGAATCGGCATCGGCCTTTTTTCGCCGATTCTTTGCCGATTCTTCGGAATTTCTTTTCAAATTTTCAGGTGAAGCGACAGCCAAATTTAAAAAACATTTGCAGACAGCTCACAAAAATTATTATTTTTGTGTTGAAGGTGTTTCACGTTTTTTTCCATACAAAAGTATGTGCGACAATTTTTTTTATATGGAGAACACTGCCAGCAAAAAAAAAATTGCCAAAACTTAACGGGATTTTATAGCAGCTTGAAACTTGCACTTCATTATACTAGAATGAAATGGTCTACAAAACTGCATACCAAAATTCTGATTAAAGAGTTTGAAATTTTGGTGAAAATAAACCGAATTTTTCTAATTTTTGTACCAAGTTTGAATTTATATGGTGTTTGTTGTATACCAGCTAGACTTTTATAAAAAAATATAATAAACATTAAATAAAAAAGACAAAATCGGTCAAAATATCGCAATTCTTTTATTTTAATTAATTCAATTATTTCTTTTCTTTTGTTTTTTTTAACTCCGTGAAATGAACTGATTTATGAATTAATACGTTTATTTGTAATTTTTATGGAATCGGCATCGGCATCGGCCGATTCTTTCCCCATAAGCCGATTAATCGGCATCGGCATCGGCATCGGTACCTGAAAAACAATTGGAATCGGTCGGACTCTAATAGTATGTAGGCAACAAAACTTTGTTTTCCTTGATAAGGAAAGACCTTTATTACAAGCGAATTAGCTAATGATTGGTAATAAAGCAAAAGGACGCGTAAACCTTTTTTTTTGTATTGGCAATAAATTATTCTGATTAGAATAGATATGTACATCAAAATTTAATTGTCGTCATTCAATTACTACGCAGCTGCAATTTCTTAAAGTCCCCCCTATACCGGCACTTTCATTAATTTAGGACGAATTAATATTTCATACGTTTTTTTAGTCATAGCATGGGCCAGCTTGCTTTGACTTTTGATTTATACGCATTTATCATTACTCTATATCTTACTGTGCACTGATTGATAAGTTATCAGAATTTTCAAATAAGATATTTGACGCGTCTCGCAATTAACTAGCTGCCGTCTTTAATGCTATCTTAAATTATGTATTAATACTGCTATCAAATCGATCTGTCTTTAATGGCAATGGTCAATTTATTTTGTGGGTAAAATACAAATACAGGCATACGGGCATAATCATAGCGATTATTTTTTTTCTTAAAATTTCAGACCTTTTACTCGATTTATACAAATAAATTAGAGTAAAATGTCTGAAATTTGAAAAGCAATTGCTTATTTTTTATTCATAAGGCCCATTGTAGCCTAAAAGTTAAAATTAAATTAAATTTATCAGATCACATTCTACGTGAGTATTTTAAAGATTTTAATTAACATTACTACTTTTTATAGATATTCTACTTCTACTTTGCGCTTCAATTGTCATACTTGGCGTAATTTATGTGCTTGCATTAACGAGAATGCTGTTAAATGCATTAACCGGTACGTTGGTGCAGGACTCATATGGACTACTTGTGGAAAGTTTTATTTAAAGAAAAATATGCCACAGGTTATATGTAGCTGTAAACAATAGGTCTAATTTGAATTAAATGTATGTATGTAATTGTATCAGATATACTTTTTTTTATATGTGCATATATTTGTATGTATTTCTATTATGTACTAGCATTAGTTAATATTTTAAACAATTTGAAAAACAAAGCACTTAAGAAAATATATATATATATATTTTTTTTTTTTTTTTGTATCGAAAAAGGCAGGAATTTAATCAGAATATATTTTATTCTTGCCAATAATTTTTGGGGCAGCTGACGTCCAGATCTCATGGTTGCGTTTGACAAATTAGTTCTTATAGTGCCCCTAAACCACATAAAATCATTGTGCAACCCGGCCTTTCCAACCGTCTACATGACTTCCAGGAAATTGCATGCGTGTATAATGACATAAAATAATTGCAGTGATAAAGAAATAATGTTATTTAAAAATTTCTGTAGAGCATTTTGTATTTTGTATTTAATATATAATATTTATATTTTAAATCTAAAATCTAATTATAAGAATGTTAAATCTTTGTTGCAATATAAGTCTAACAGACTGTAAAAAATAAATAAATAAATAAATAAATAGTCAATATTGTGGAAATTATTACACAATAAAATTGCGCAAACTTTATTTTTAAGAAATGGTGCTCAAGTAAAGATGTGCAAGAAATATGAATGTGCGCTGTATATTTTAATAGTCTCAGCTTTAAAACGCAAAAAGGATATTAAAATTTTTTCACGCTCTTGTCCATATTTTACAGCACGATCTGTGCACCAAAATGACTAAAAATTGCCCAGTTTTCGCCATGCTCAACAAATCATTGTACAACATTGCGGCACCGTCACCGTCAGCTTGTTCACGTAACTTATGCCTTGGTTATAATGGACGGGGCGAATCGTAACAAATTGCGGCGAATTCGTAAGGATCTATTGATTTTAGATTGTTCCGTTTTACGTTACGTTTACGTGCATTATAACCATTTGCATTTATTTCCCATGCAATAGATAATTAAGTGAAAGTTCACTCCGTTCCGTTACTTCCATTATAACCCAGGCATTACTTCAACCGATTCAAGCTTCCTCTGGATATACTTGTGTAAACTTGCGGAAGTATGTCGGTCTTTGGGCGGATGTCTTGATTGACAACACGAGTGGTCGTAAAACTGTTGTATGAAGGAATTAATTTGGTCCCGATTCCGGTAGTGCATTTTTGGTCCCAAATTTTGACAGCTTATTGACATTTGTGATTTCATTTAGTTTTGTTTACATTCGTGATTTTCGCCAAGTAAATTTTAATTGAAATTATCCATATTTAAAACAATGTCCAATGATAAACGCACCATATATGTGGGTGCGCTAGCAGATGAAGTCACCGAAAAACTATTGAATGATGCCTTCATACCCTTCGGCGACATTGCTGATATACAAATGCCGGTCGACTATGAATCACAAAAGCATCGCGGATTTGCATTTATCGAATATGAAATGTCCGAAGATGCTGCTGCTGCAATAGATAATATGGTAGGTTAAAAATAGAAGGAACGAATTGAATGATTAATAAATTAATTTATTAGAACGATTCGGAACTTTGTGGTCGCACGATACGCGTAAATCTCGCCAAGCCAGTGCGCATCAAAGAGGGCAGCTTCAAACCTGTTTGGGCGGAAGATGAATGGTTACAGAAACATGCCGGCGCAACATTGAAAGGGGATGAGGCTGAAACATCTGAAGGTGGTACTGCTGTTGTCGAAGGTAGTGAAGTGTCTAATAGCAAACCGAGCGGGCCAGCGGTTATCGAGAAAGCAGAGCAGCGTAACCCACAAGTCTTCTTCGACATACGGATCAGCGGTCACGATGTAGGACGAATCATTATGCTGTTACGCGCTGATGTAGTGCCAAAGACGGCGGAGAATTTTCGTGCGCTGTGCACGCATGAGCAAGGCTTCGGTTATAAGGGCAGCACTTTTCATCGCGTCATACCAGAATTTGTATGTAGCACAAATATTTTCCGGAATTAAAAACAAAAATGGTAGTATCTCCCTGTAGATGTGTCAAGGTGGCGATTTTACAAACAACAATGGCACTGGTGGAAAATCTATATATGGGAAGAAGTTCGCCGACGAAAATTTCACGTTGAAGCACAATGGTTTTGGTACTTTATCAATGGCAAATTCAGGAGCCAACACAAACGGCTCACAGTTCTTCATTTGCACGACTAAGTAGGTTATTCTTTGAGGAAAATTATGTTTTCTAATGCCAGATTTTTTATAGAACCGATTGGCTGGATAACAAACACGTGGTTTTCGGTCATGTTATAAGTGGCGCCGATGTTGTGCGAAAGATGGAACGCTGTGGTAGCAAATCTGGTACGCCAACGCAGAAAATTGTAATTTACTCTTGTGGAGAATTGAAATAACCATAAATATGAAATTTTATTAAAACTTTGATTTTTATTTAATACATATTTCAAATCATTTCATTTTAATTTTTCAACTAAAATGGTATGATGCAAATTTAGTAGTCTGCAGCTGGATTAAAAATTCCCGGCCAGATATGAGACGTGAGTCATTCAAGTCACGTAGACCTTACTGTCGTTAGACTGCTTATGATGGTTCAGACAAGGCTGTTCGTATCCCATGTAATCTCGATCTATCTGCAAAAGAGATAACGTGGTTAGGGTACTGGAAACATTCATTTCAAACAAAATATTTTATATAATGAATCAGTTGAGATATAGCAGCATGGTTTTTAAATTGGGTTCGACTCAGTAGAGGGATCCTGAGTGAGGATAAATCATCATTTCAATCAATTCTTTATTTTTTCGTTACAATGCTTACCTTCATTGGACAAGCATAAATTCGAGCTCCGAACGATTGTTGTCTGCAATGAAAAACAAACTTTCATTTAGCACAAATAAGGGAGGAAGGAGCTTCAAGTATAGCAAATTAGATGATCAGTTAAAAGTAGACAGCATGATTGTTTAATTTGGGTTCGACTCAGTAGAGGGATCCTGAGTAAGGATAAATCATCAACGTAAAGACAAATACATATATGAATAAAAACGAAAGGCCTACCTTCGCATGCCTATCAATTTACGCCAGCCATCCGTTATACATAGCTTCTCAGTGTTCAACTAGGCAAACATTCTAAAATGGTATCAAAGAACCTTATGATAAAACTTAAGATGAAATTTATCGCAGAATTGTAATGTAACTATATTTATCAGTTAAGTAAAATTGTTACATGTATTTTTCAAATGAACTATACTATTATGTGAGTCATCATATAAAATAAAATTTTATTTCAGATGCGTAATGTACACATACTAACCTTTTCAGATATCCACACACCCAACATGTTTCTCCCTTTTAATATTGACACCTGCCAGTTAAATCTGTGCAAAAACCGAATAATTCTTAGTCCTGCAAAATAAATTAATATCCATTAACTTGCAGAACTGCAAACATAGAAACTGTATTGTTTTAGCTTTATCAGTATCCTTTTGGTTTATAGTTAGTGTGATCAGCATGATTTTATGTCAGCTTATTGTTATCATCAAGGTGAATATCTAGGGATGTTAATTAAATCTGATTATTTACAAACCTTTGTGACCACTGATTCGCCATCTGGTTTACAAGCATCTTACAAGCAGCTGGGTAAGGGCTGTAAAAAATACAGACAAATATACCTGGTTAAAACATATTCAAACGAGTACTACCATCAAATGGTAGAATAATTTTATCAGAATCCTTTTGGTTTAATTTTAAGTTATAAATCAGCAATTATTTTTACTTATGATTAAACTTATCATCACTCAAAACAAAAATATGCATACATTTTCTTAAAAAATTGTATAGCTTACCTTTTACCAGGGGATTAGAGCACATAGCACATGCATCGACATAAGCAGTTTTTCAGAATTGCCTGAAATAAGAACGCTTAATTACAATCAATTTACAATGAAAAATACATTTAATAAAACGTAGTTCTTCAGTTGGCCGTTCTTATCTATCCGCAAAAATTAAAATGCATACAAATTAATTACGAGAATTAAATGCAACACATTTTTTCAGAACGAGAACAATCATCAAAAAGGTATATCAAGCAGATTCTTGCAGGAATAAAGATACTTACATAGGTAATTTTATCCTCACTTTTCTAGCCCATCATTGCGGCCTTTTATTTCTTTGCAACTGCGAAAGTTGCAGAATACATGCAGAATTGATATTTTAGTAATATTTTATAAAATACTTCCATAATTAAATGTAACTTTTCCATGTTTTGCGAAACGAACAAGTTCACTCTTTGAAAACCGACAGCAAAATGAACGAGTTTGAAAATGGCAGATGGAACGTCTGGAAAGCGAGCCATCTAGGTAGTTGCCACAGCGCTCGTAATAGAAAATAGATGTTGATTCCAGTAGTGCATTTCATCCCAAAACCGCTGATTTCCCTAAAAAGGTGTTCGCAGGAGGGATCACGCAGGGTTGCAAGTTGAATGACTAGAAGTAGAATGCAAAGTTGAAGAGTGCAAACGCTTTTTTATGGCGAATATTTTAATATTTTTTTATATTTTGATATTTTTAGCCATTTCAATTTTTTTTTTCGTGCAACCCTGCGTGGGTTTAGAAAAATCGCCCCGTGCGAAAGCCCTATAACCGATTCCGGTAGTGCATTGGGCCCTAACCGGTCCCTAACCGATTCGATGAGCATTTCTGAAAGTTTTCTGAAAGTTAAATTTGCAAAAGTTAATTAAACAAATTCTAATGGCAGCTAGAAGAAAAATGACAATTGGCAAACATATTTTTTTAATGTTGTTTTTAATGCAGCGTTTTTGCTGCATTTAAAATGCAACATTTAGCACTTTCGAACATATGTTTTCGAAGAGCGTTCATGCTATAGCATTTAGCAAATGTACATTTACGCGAGTTCGAAATCGTATGCTTTTGACAAACAGCCGTGTTCCAGTCTCTTATTTAGATGCGTATATCTTACGATCAATTCTCACGCAGAAGATAATGTGCAAAAACCCTACTGAAAAGGAAAAAATTAATTTTAAACCAAAAATTCAATACAAAAACTTGAATTGTTTTAACCATAACCGAACATTTGTTTGTGTATATATTCATTTGTCGGTGCTGTCAATTAAAATTTCCTCACTTAATTAGGAAACAAACCAATGTTGAATTTGCTTAACTTTTCTTTATCCAAATATGTAATGCAAAATAAAAAAAATCTCGATCGGCGATCAATGAAACGCAGCTAGCAACTGTATACTCGAAAAAGCAATGTTGCCACTTTTTCTCTTTAAACCATGTTCGAATCGTGGAAATTTTGGAAGATCACAGGGTTGCTTTTAGCATTTAGATTCTTAATGCAAAAATGGAGTTGCATTTAATTGCATTTAGGTGACGAATTTTGTATGGATAAATGTACATTTAGAGTAGCATTTAGAGCTAAATGCGCTAAATGTGCTTTTACGCGTAAGCAAAAACAGCCTATAAGCCCTGAATGCTATGGAAATTGCTTGCTGGGTTTAAGTCAACAGCTTTCTTAAAATTTTCTTTTAGATCATAAAAATTGTCAAAATTTTAATGTGAAATTGTATAAACTAATAGAAAAAAACTTGCATTAGATAAATTTAATGGTGTAATTTTTACGCGATACCAACTAAAATACAACCGTGCGCAAATGGCAAACGGAAAAGCAAAGAAAGCCGGAAAAGGAAAAGGCCATAGAGACGGTAATCTACAAAAAACTGAAAAAGAATACAAATTATTGACGATGGAAGAACAACAGGCACGGGATACTAAATACGAAATGCGTCTAGTGGAATTACGAGCGTGTCGTAATTTTATTGATGGTAAGTGAAATTTTTCTACATGAACTTTCTTATGTATATCCGGTCGAGGACTCTGCGAAAAACAATCCACAACAAAGCTGGAGCTTACCCAGCTACCAAGTCATTTGGATGCATAGGACATGAAACAAATGTGCATAAATGAAATAAAATACAAATAAATGTTTCATTCTTTTCAATGATTCTGAACAGAGGCTTTTATGAGGGTGGACGAATTAAAAGAAGCGGAAGATTTAATGGAGAAGGTTGGCATGCCAAATTTCAAATTTTTCATAAGAATAAAATGTTAATTTTTTGTCCTTCCAGTGGAAAACCTATTTACGTTGCGATGGTCTACCAAAACCTTACATACCCCCAGAAGTGCGTTTGTTTTTTGTTAAATTAAGACATTTCGAAGGATTGAATATGGAAAAAACCATTGATTGGCAGCTATCTGTAGACGAAGGTAGTATTTTGACGCAGGATATATTTAGCAAGAATATGACGCGTAAAGCGTTAGTTAATGAATTACGCCCCAATTTCGGGGATGAGTATAAAGAAATTATAGATTTGTTGCTAAAGGTAATTGATGCTATAATATAAGCTTTAGACATGAGGATTACTGAAAAGAAATTATTTTCTAATGTAGATTATAAAAAGTATCGAATATTATACCGATGATGAACTAAAAATGGTTAAAGCACGAAAGAGCATCTTAGAAGATGTTTTGCAGGTACGAACGACGAGAAGTTATCTATGAAAAAATTTTAAGATTTCTTAAAATGTGCATATTTGTTTTATTTTATAGCAAAAGAAAGCAGCTTATTACGAAATAGACAAGTTTTTCGATCATTATGCGTATCGGATATTATCATCTGAGGATTCTTATATGGAGTAAGCAATGTTTTGAAGATCGTTTGCGATTGTATTCAAACATTTTACTTTTAATCTCGGTATAAAGTTCAGTAAATGCCAACACAGCTGAATATGTTTACGAAAGTGAAAATTTTTGCATGCACTTATGGACATTAAAAAATGTACCTATAAATTTCCAGTTTTTAGAGTGAGTATTTATACATACGTATGTTCTTACCTACAAATATAATTAATTTAAAATTTTGCTATTTGCCTTTTTTACTTCTACATTTTTGCATATATGTACATATTTTTGATGTCCATAGAACTCCTTGCATCGACGCATGTTTACATAAATTAAAAATTAAAATACAATTGCCGTTATCGATTCTACAGGAAAATCTCACTATAAGGGGAATACAATTATTTTTCGATCCGTTTAGTGAGAATGCTAGAAGTTATAGGCAAGATTTTAAAGAGATTCGAGATCTTACTGCAGTGTTGTCGGCTGGTACACCAGGTAAGCAATTTCAAATATGTATTGTTTTTTTTGTGTGATACCTTTAGTCTTATATGAACATACATACATATGTATATTCAATTCATTTTCGAATCCTTGGTTATTTGAAGATATACACGATTGCTTGGTCCAAGAACATTTTATGCAAGTGGAATTACAAAACCAAGTGCGCAAGAGATTGATGGAAAAACGTGCGGAATATGAAAACAAAGTCGTGTAAGTTTAATTTGTAAATCCGATTAGCGTTCACCAAAACTGATACAAAGTCTCAAAACTTTGAAAGCACTTCTATGAAAAACACTTTCGATTAACTAGTGATTAATAGATTCAGTTTAATCTAATTTTTTACAATTTGTAATAATCTACGCCAGCGCACTAGCGGAACAATTAGAAAATTTAAAAAAATCCAATGCTAGCGATAATGAAAATAAAAAGAAGCAGCCAAAACTTATAAAAGTGCCCAAGGAACCGCCTGTAATAACGGATGATATGTTTCCGGATATTTGGGACGACTTTTTACAATTGGATAATGAGCGTTATAATAATTTCATTGATTTTGTCTATCACCCGGATTCATTGCGACTGGAGCCAGATGAGGTAATTAAAATAATTAGCTCTACGATTTTTATGAATATCTATGTACTTACATTTTTATCAAAATACATGCTTTGTAATTGTAGATCAATTTAAAAAAATATGCGATACTCGGCGGAATATATCAATTATATTTTGTTAAAAAACCAACCCATTACAACTTTGACGATTTTAACATGACATGGCATGAAAATAATGGCGAATTACAAATAATCAAAAACGTGATTGCTGAAGCAGTTTTGCCATCTTTATCTAATAGAGGATCTTTAAGTCGTTCTTCAATTTCGATTAGGCGTAGCTTATCCAGGCATAATAGTTTACAACCAAATTCATCCTTCATTGATCCACCAAAGTATTATGAGACACCTAGTTTTGTTATTTCGATGGAATTACCAGATTATTTATGTCTCTGGGGTGAACCGTTATTGTGCCATTTTGAAGATGACTTAATCGGCTACGTAGAGGAAACTGTGAGTACGCCAGAACAAAATCTAGCGCCAACGCCCTCTGCTGCTACTGATGAACAGAGTAAATTATTTATAAAAGAAACAGCATCAACAGGCACCTCGTCCATAGAAATTGCACATACCCCAAGGCAATCCGTATCGAGTATTTCTATACGCATGAGACGTTCAATATCGAACGTCTTTCGACCCTCATTAGCGTCACTCACCAGTATGTCACAGCAACACGGTCAACCGGCGCAAACACGAAATTTTGTAGAAGTTGAAGACTTTGTTTTGGATTTACCCTTGTCTATTGTTCAAATACGTAATATACAGCGACATTGTTTGCCACGCATTATTTCCTCCTTTAAGTTCCCTGTGGAATTGCAAGATGAAGCGGCCGAAGAACAAAGTGGCAAACCGAAGGGCAAAGGTGGTGTATTGTTGCGTAAACGTCCCTCCGAAGAGGATGTAGATGACGTTAAGGAATTCCAATATGATGGCCAAAACAATCCTGAACGGATGTTTCCTGTTTTCGTTAGTCCCGAAACTTTGCATATGGAATATCGAATACGTGATGAAAATGCAGACACTGCGGTGCCTACGGGGACTAAATTTCCAACAAGTTTCTCCCAATTAGTACAAACATTAGATAGAATAAGGAGCGCTTATCAAACCGGTTTCAGGCGAACACTTCAAGTAACTGATAAGAAAATTAATGCCAATGTTTATAAGACGCGCAGGAAGATAGCTACGACGACGCGGTCAGTGGACTCATCTGCGACTGTCCTGCCGTTGACGGGACGGTTGTCAGCACATATAGCAGTGGCAAAGCGTAAAACTTCGAAGCGAAAAACTATACGGCTGAGTGAACTTGATATGGCAAAGGCGGGAGGACAAAAAGAGCGTGAAAAAGAACATTTAAGGTTGGAACATGAGACACAGGCGTTGTTAATGCGTAAACAGTTGTCAGCAGTTCAGGCGGCAAATCAAGCGGAGGAGCAAGAAGAGAAATCAGAATTGGAAGATGTTAAAGAGAGTCTACCGGGACCCGAAGTGGAAGATAAAAGGAAAACATTCCGCTATTCACATTGGACGACGAAATTTATTGAGAAAACGAAATATGATAAAACAAATCACAAGATAACGATTTGGACAGATCGTTTGGGTGAGTGCAGCAAATAGAAAGTCGCTACAATAACCACAATGTTATCTAAATATTATTAATAAGTATAATATGAATACCATAAAAAACTTGAATGTAAAGTTTAAACAAATTTACTTATTTTAATTAAGGCACAATTGGTTTGGCGTATAAGCTTTATGAACATTTCCCTTTTAAAGATTGGAAAGTGGAACCAGATCTGGAAAAGTAAATTTTTTAAATTATAAATATAGCCGGGTAATATTTAACATATTTTTATTTAATTTTTTTTTTTGAAATATTGTTAGCGAAGGCGAAGTAGTTTTTACGCTAGAAACGCAATATGTTAAATGTGTAATCAATATCTCCGCCAACGGCTATCGCGGTTATGTAGCGGAGCCAACCAAAGGTTTTGTACGCAATAGAAAAATTTACTTGGACATTAAAGAGCCAGTAACCGATTTGAAAGACTTGAAAGGGGTAAGTACAGAACAATTTAAAGTTAATATCGATACAAACTTTAAATGCATGTTTTTGCTTTTATTTTTATTTTGCGCAGCGTTTCCGTGAGCGTTTCTTGAATATATTTTCCAATCACGATGCTCGTTTTTATATAGAGAATAGTAAGAATACTTATTGCTAATTTCAGCCAAACATTTAAAACTTTTAATTTTTCCTAGGCTATTTTTCTGAGAAACATTTAGCCTGTGAACTCCACATCTACTCCTGTATAGCTTTGCATTGTTTGCTATTGACATTTACACGCTCCAATTGGAATCGCTTGGCACAGCGTCGTGATATTGTTTTGAATTTTGCACACCATCGCGAGCCGCCGGAAAACATGATGCAGGTGCGCATCACACCAGAAAATGCCACATTTGTGGATGTACAAGAGCTGTGTTCGGATGATTTAAATACGTTTTTGTTAGACTATACATTAACATGGCGAAACATAGGTGTGAGTATTACACTTTTTACTGTATTAGCCTAAATACATATATAATGGGGCGTATTCTTGTTTTCGTACGAATCGAAAATCATGAAATTTTCCTATCTTTTCCCATACAAAAATTTCAAATTCTCGATTCGTATGTAAACCAGAATACGCCTTTATATTAGAACAATTGCAAAAGGTCAAGCGCTACACATTCATTAATGATATTTATTAGCATTCGATTAAAAATTGTGAGGTACATGAAGATGAATTGCCACTTTGTTATTAGTTCGTTCTAAATCTTTTAATGTAATAATAAAAGTTGCTTATTTGTCTTTCATTAGCAATATAGCGACTTTCATCACCTCATCATGTCAACATATCTCACTGCTATGGACAATCGTTGCAAAGATCCAAAACTACTTGTGAATGTAAAAAATTTGCTTTCTGAAATACGTCCCCTAAGTTATTCGTAGCATAATTGCAATAAACATAATTTGTAATTACTTTTTTTTAATTTATTTTTATTATCTTATGATATTTACTTTGTTTCGAAGTACCTACTTTTGTAAATCATACGAATAACGGCTCCATTCTGTATCGCTGACAAATTCTTGTCACAGTTTTTATTACCGAAAAATATATGAAAAAGTTTAAATTTGTCAGTAAAAAATGTTTGCCACCGATACAGAATTTGGCTATAAGTTTAGTTTTAACAGTATCTAAAGGATTTAATGGAAACACCAAAAGATCTCAACGCATTTGTTTTACCAAAAGCACCTTAAAGAATATCCGCTAACAAAAGTGGAATGAACTTTTCCCTTGCATACTTTTAGGTGGCATTGGTATGGAAATTTAATTTCTGTAAAAAATGAACTTAGTTTGCTAAACTTAAAACGAAAGTTTATATTGGATATTAGTGCAAAATTATAGAGGCGTGCAGCAAGCAGCAAGTGGCCATTACTGAGCACCTTTCTTACAGACATGATAAATTATCGTCAACATTCCTTGGTGCCCGCTTATGGTTGTTTGGATATTGCCGTCGTCGCTGCACACATACTTTTTTTGCGCTGCGCTAACTTCCTTAAGAACGATTGTATTTGCCCCAAATGTGCAGCATGAATACCGAGGCGATGAATAGCAGAGACATTACCAAGACGGGAACCGGACCACTGCAATAAAAACAGATTATTCACAATCGAAATGTTATGGTTTAAGATAAACTATAAAGGAATCCATATGTTAGAGGGTGTGCTAATTTACAGAAATTGAATTAAAATCACCATCCTAAGAGGAAAGTTTAGCCATATCTACTGATTTCTAACAGAATCTATCTTCAACACAATTTCAGTTACTTTCACAAATTAAATTTGAATCATTTGCATTAGGTGCCATTTTCTCTTAAGTGCTGCAAAAGAGAAAGTACACGTCCACACAACGGAATAGGCTGTTGTTGTGACCCAAATATTGACAAAAATGCTTTGTTGGCATGTAAATACTTACACTTTAATACCGGGGGAGTCGTCGGTGTAGAATCGCCACATGCCACCAGTGCCAGCGCCAGTGGTGCGACTTCTAGCTGCTGTGGTACTACTTGTTGTCTTACGTTGCTTCAGGTTACTACCACCAGCGCCAGCGCTGCGTGGCGCTGAGATTTTCGTTGGCGAGCGTGAGCCACTGCCCACAGAGGTTGAACTGGCTGGTGCAGGCTGCAAACGGAGAAAGAAACAAATTTATACATTGCAAACACTTCACCACATACTGTCCTTTTATATATTACCATTTTATTGTAAAATTATTAAACAATTCTGCGACAATCGTATATAAAAGCACGTATTTACAACTGACCAAATGGAATACCAACGAACCAATTGACTGCTTTCCAAAAAATAAAGATTTCGCCGTGAGTGACAATTCGCTGTCTTTGATTTCGTTTTTTTCTTCCAATCGGCAATTCATTCGTTTTTCCTCTTTCCACGTAGACGAGGAAAGTTGGCTGCTTTTTAATTGCTGTCAAGGGAAACGTCAGCATATTTTACTGCTGGAGAATAAAGATGGCGCACGAGTCAGTAAGTTCGCGTAGGAAGCGTCAGTCAGTGGCAACCGGAAATATTAGTTGTGTGAAAAATTGGCAAATTGTTTTAAATTGTGAAAAAAATTTAACTAAGCTGTGTAAAATTGTGATTGCATGAAGTGATTTTTAAATTATTGCATTCAATGCAAACTTATTTCCATAAGAAATTTGGTAGAATTTTCATCGAGCAAAGTAACAGCGAAGGATGTGTAGCCCGGATATACATAAATCACTCCAAGGAAGTAAAGAAAGGAAATAAGGTGCCAGCTTGCAGGTAAGTACATTTATGTTTGGAGATTACTAATTCTTAATTATTGAACAAAATAAAAATTTCGAACCATAACTAAAACAATTCCATTTAGTTTAGATAGATAAATAGATTTTTTTTTGTGGTATGCAATGCAACCAGGGGATCTTTTGTGCCTTCTGTCTCTTTATATCATCTCGTTCAGTTTTAGGTCGCTTGGGAAATCCAATAGTTTGTTTGGCCATATCGACTGCGCATTATTTGACTTCGGGCCTTATGACCGGTGGTATTTTGCTCCTTTTCTGCTTTATATTCGAGGAGTATGTGCGCAGCAGTTTCAGCTACGTTGCCATCTCAGTTGAATGTCAAACTAATTTACACTCCCACTTCCCACTTACTGAGTTGGATATATCTTGATGTGGACAATAAAAGCAATAAAAAATTATCTGCCTCAGTGCCAGGGTCTTCCCTTTTGAATGCTTAAAGTGCGTCTTTAACCAATTATGCAACTTCTTTTTGTATTTTGGCCATAATCAGGCAGGTTCTGCACTTCGCTTCCGGGAGAATTTCCACCATAGTCACATTGAATTCAAAATTAAAGGGGTTTGAAATTCAACCGGAAGTGAATCGCAAAACCTGCCCGAAAACCAGCACTTTGTCCCTTTACTTGACAGACTGCATTGTGAATAATATCGTTTTTTGTTTGTGATTCAATGCTGTGAACATTTCCACATTATCTTCCTATCGCTTAAGGTCAACATTAGGAAGAAGGTCCTTGAATAATTCACTCAAAAATCCGATGTTTTCAATTGTCGGGTGGGCGCTATTATTAAAAATGAGTCAATGTTTTTGTATTTAATGGCTCGTTTATGTAAAATTATTGAAAAAATTGCTAACATCCTTATAGCATTACCCAAAACAGTTTGGGTTGCTTCTTAGCTATTACAACAACAACACCAAAGCCTTATGCACTTACGCGCTAAATAATTCTTTCAAAATAATAAAGCGGTTTCTTTTTTTATTTTGCTCAAAGTTTATTTCGTGCATAGTTTATAAGGTATGTAGTACATTACATTAGTTTTTTCTTTAATATACTTGTATATATGTTGTTAAAGAATAATTTTCCACAATCTTCCTCTTCATCTTCATTTTCAGTTTGTTTTTTCTTTGTTTTTTTTTTTACTGGAAACACTAAATTAAAGTATGACCATTATAATAATAATACAATATAATATGCGGGTGTATAAATAGGCAAAGTTTTTGGGTTAGTTACAAGTTTACTGCATACAAGGTTTACTGCATTTCCATGGATATCATGTCTTTGTGTGAAGGTGTTTGTGTGTATGTTTGCTATACTGCAAGCAAGCTTGCATTTGAAAGTAGCGTCTATGCTTTAACCTATTTGCTTGCCATTATATCGTTTACAAACGTGATTTAAATGTTTTTTATATTATTTTTTTACGATTCTTAAATGTGGGCAATACGCTGTACGCAATAAAATACTACAAACATTGCTTTTTTTTATTGAGGTGCTTAAAACTCGCATGACATGATATCCATAGTTAGCTTTAAAGTTAGGCTCTAAGCGATCGTTAAATGAAAATGTTATTAATTAATTAATTGTAAAACATATTTACGTTGTGAAAAGATACTTTTATAAATTTTTAATCGTCCTCTATACTGTAAAAACTAAACTATATGGTTTGATTTTTCCAAATACCTTGCACTCATGTATACAGTATATAGTTTTTTCGTTAGAGTTACATAGCTGTGTATACATATGTGGAATAATTAATTTTTGTTTAAAGTTAAGAATAAATATTTTCAAACTACCAATAAACTATTAGCCCCATATATGATTATATGTACCCTTAATTTTTCATGCTTTAATTTTGTTGTTTCTCTTAAGTGCTTTATGAAGAATCGTAAAATTGTTGTTTACATATACATATATTTTTTATGTACTATTTTGTTATACTTCAAATTTTTTTATGAGTATGCAGTGAAAATATGTATTTAAGTTGCAGAAAAAAATATTTAAGTTTATGCTGAGCTCATACTGGCTGATTCTATTTTCATCGTCGTTGTGGCTGTTGCTGTGCCACTCGATTTGGATGTTTTGTTGTCGTCCACACCCTTCAGATCAGCATCGACCTTCTTATCCTTTAATTGTCAATTTTCAGCTGACATAATGCCGATTTCCTCGTTGATAGCCAATAGTTGCCTCACGAAGTCCTGGTCATTTATAACCTCGGCTAAGGATTTACAAAGTTCAGTTAGCTCCTTTTCCTTCATATTTAACTGCGGTGCCAATTTATTCAAATGTTGTTGCACGTTGTCTGGAATCTATGGATAAGAAAAAAAGGAATAAAAAGAAAAAAGTTTGTGACAACTGCGAAAAATAGGTTTACAAACAAATTTATTCTACCTTCGATGGATTTTTGAAGACATTGAACATGAATTTAACTTTTACGCGTTGGTCATTCGGTCCATCGTAGAATATTGTGAAATGTGATTCATTGCAGTTTGGCACAACCGGCAGGTAAATACCTGCAAATACGCGTCCTTTTGCATCACGTGATAACAGCGAACGGAAGTTGTACGCTAAATTACGACGCACGGTCACATCGATGGCGGTCATATAGGGCTGTTCGATGTAAATGAGTGACGATTTGAAAGACTGCTCATCGCCACGTGTCTCACGTTCCATCCATTCAACATACTTCTTGCTATGCAGACAATAATTGTAACAATAGTCACGTTGCAGATGCGTTTCTTTCGACTGTGTGAACCAACCTACGCAGTAGAAGAAAAACATTTTGTTAGCAAAATTTGTGTGACAAAAGATGTTGTTATCGTAAGCAAAGGATGTTTGTTTAATAACCTAGTATAATAGAATTATAATAATGTCTCAACCTACCCGTATGTGGATACATTTGGTCCGACATCACGGTAACAGCTCGTCCGATATGATAACCCGGATCCAATATCATTACACCTTCACGTCCGGCAATAGAAATCTTCATAGCTACCATAGCGTGCTCTTTCTCGACATTGGCATGTGGCGAGTTCAGTCCACCGACTTCTTCAGTGCCTTCAATGTAGTCACTCTGTGACATGACCTGTTCCTCGCACGAAACCAGATACAGATAATGCTGTAATACTGGAAAGATCTCAATGATGCGTGTCATTATCTCCATAGCCAGTGAAACACACATGTGATGACGCCTATTAATGGGTAAATCGTAGAATTGGAAGAATGATTTCAGATCCGAGCGTCGTGTACGTTTGAAGGCGCGATAAAAATCCACGAATAAATTAACTGTATCATAATGTGTTTCTTCAAGCATACGATGTAATTTGGTCTCAATAATCGCATTTAGATCCTCATATTCCCAAACCGAATCGAAGTTTAATATTCCCTTGCTGTGTTCATCATCGCAAGTCGCTGCCCAATCGGGCAATGGTAGCGGATGTCCAAGCGGCCAGATTCCATTGATTTGATTGAATGCAGTTAAATTGTAGCTGTCCGCATCGGCCCACCACTCTTGTTGGCCCTGCAGTTGATTGCGCCACCACTTGCGGTGCTGTTGCTCAAGTAATTTACGTATATTGGCGCAGCGTTCCAACGATGCATTGGATGTCATATTATCCACTTTGCCAATTTGTTGAACCATATCGGTGACGGAAGCGGCAGCGCCGGCCACAACAGTTTCCACATCGGTGTATTTACTGTCAACTGTTGTTGCTGCGGCTGTGGCGTCAACTGCATCATCACCATTTGTAGCACATCGTCCACCAGTGTCGTTAACATCATCCACTTGGCTTTCATCAACATCATGGTGGTTGTCGGGCGACCAAGTCTTGTTGTGCACGCTGCATTGCTGCTGTTTAGCGACAACAATTCGTTGGCCGTTGTTGTTTTGTGGTCTATCTTGAACAGGAACGGTGTTCGTAGTCAATCCAACTCGTACCGCACCCGCCGATAAACCGGCATTGGCGCCGGCGCCTGCAACAACAGCTGGTTCAACAGCTGCTGCGCTAGCGGCGGTGGCGCCACATCGCACCAGGCTGGCTTCGGCGAGTCAACTTGGCCATTCGGCACCCCAACGGCCAACCGTTGGCACGTAGCCACTTTCGCAATCATTTAACGAGGTTTCTAAATTAATTTTGGCTGCTGCGTGTATTGATAATGGAATAGCGGTAGCTGGAGCGGCAGCGGTTGCTGGAGCGGCGGCGGCTGCAACACCGTTACACGTTGAAAATAGACTATTCCGGCCCTGCGCGTTTTTGAACAGGAGGTCCGGCTCGTCTCCAAAATACGATGGTTGTTTAGAAAGCTCTGCGTGTGGAAAGAATTGGAGTGAAAATATTATATTTAGTTATTCATGAATTATTGGTGTGTTAATTAAAATCAATTAAACAAATAGCCAAGATGTTGTTCGAGGATGAAGTAATTATTGACGAATTTACAAATTCAGAAGAGGAATATATAACACCAAAATTAGCTGAGCCTTTTGCGCAATTATATTTTGTCTATTAAGTTTAAGAGTGGGCTATTAAAACTAAAATTATCGCTCAAAAATATTATAACTGAAATTCTTTAGTTAGATTGAGATCTCTTCATAATTATTTCAGAATGAGTCTACGGCAAATTGCAGTGCTGCACCGTGATAACTCTCTTATCTAGGTCTACAGGCGATAACCTATTAAACGAGTTTATTTATAGCGCTACAATCACTGGTTTTTAGCTTTGTACTCCAACCAGTCGAATTTTCGAGTATTTGATAAGGGCACTTTAACTTTGTTTGGTACAAACCTCTGTAGCTTGATCAGAAAAATTGCACATAAGCATACTCGTAAAATGAGACCCCTTTCAGACACGTCAAGTCTTGATTTCAAGTCTGCTCGTTCGTAGGCGAAGGATGTGGGACGAATGTACTTTTCCCCTCTCTGCTCTCCTCCTTCGCCGACGAACCGAGCAGACTTGAAAGCAAGACTTGACGTGTCTGAAAGGGGTCTGAACCTTTTGTTGTGATTGTACTTGAGCAACGTAAGATAAGAAAACTACTTGTAGATTTTAAAACTGAAGCATTCAATTGAACTCATTCAGTTATCTTTTCTAACAAGTGTGTACATACTTCACTTCATATCTTGAGAAAAGCCTGATGTTATATAATTTTGTAGCTTTTTCAAACTTCGTACTGATAACACATGGATGTAGGTACATATGTATGTAAATACATACACATGTGATTAGTTAGTCCTTCCCAGCTTTTTCCATTAATTGCGAAGAAGTTAAATAAAAATATGTGCGAATATCTGCCATCTCGAAGCCTTTGCATCACAATTGTCTTTTGCCTTACTTCTCAGCAGTATAAGTATGTACACCTTTCCTCCAATTGTACGATAATGCATTCCATCTACAACTTATTCTTAATTTCTACAATTTATTGCTAACAGCGTATTCAACTATTTCTTTCTCAGCTACTTCCGTAATTCGATGCGTATGTAGCAAAAAGAGAGGCAATTTCGTGCTCTGATCTACATAGATTTGTGCATTATTCACACACAGTTGAGTCCATACATTCTGACATCTGTGGAATTTCAATGACCTCAAAAGGCTTTAACGTGCGTCGAAATTTCTTAATGGAAATGTACGCTTGGTCGGCGGGCTGGCTGTTTTAATGCTCACCCAGATGGGTGAGTAAAATTCTTCATATTAGGCTTGAATGGAGAACATTTGTCGGAACGTACATAGATATGTGTGTACATACATATGTCTGTTTGCTTTGTGTATCATCAATTTCAATCTGATGCATATACTTATGGTATAAAATACACAACTGAAATAGTACTATTTTTTCTTCTGAATACATTTTTAAGAGTCCAAACCCGACACGCACAAAGAACGTGCCCAATTTTTTATGAGACTACTGCGGCGGAAGAAATATTAAGAATGCCATCAGGTTTAGAGAAATTAAAAAAGAAAACTTTGTTTTTCGCAAAAAAAAAACTTTGGAAAGAAGCACGAACAAGTTTGGCAATTTATCGCTTATATTGCGATCACTGTCTAAAATCGCATCCTGAAGATAGATTTCTTAATAGCGGTAGGTCAAATAAATATGCTTACCGCGTATAATCAAATTTATAATGAGACGAATTAGTGACAACAAATGCGTATTTGTTTCTATTTTGCCGCCTACTAACAAAATTCTACCAAGAAGTTATTTACAATTGACGTCAGCTTTTTTAGCGCCGCTGTCCGACGTATTTCTTCGTATTTCATTCATCCCGGTAAAAGATTTGTGAATCACTTGCTTATAAGTTTTTTTCCGCAGTGTCGTAATTATACTAGAGCCACATACATATGTACCTATGTATACATTTTACTAAGTGCCTTGAGTCATGTGTTTTGACTGGACGGCATACAGTGGAGTGGTAAATATTACTCAACACCCCGCTAAAGGCATACGCACATATGTATAGTACACAAGTATGTTCATATACATATATGGATGGATTAATGTAGTTTTTGTTGCTAACCAGCGGGCAAAGCGACTAAAAGTAAAGTACGTTAGATTAGGTTTGGTTAAAATGGAGTGTTTAGGAAGACCAGATAACCTTCACTCAGAGTTAAGCGGGACCACAACCTTTTAAGTAGATCTTCTAAAGTAATTGCAAATATTCAATAAGGGCCAATATATACCGCGATCTCAAAATTGTCTACAAACGTTTTCGAAAACATTAGAAGGCATAGTTAAGAGTGTTCTTTATTGACTAGTTTTCTCTGCCTTCCAGGAAGGTTATCAATTCGATTCGATTTATATTGACTTTTCGAAAGCTTTCTGTAATGTCTCACGCAAGGTCTTAGTTTTTAAACTATCAAGTTTTGTTTTCCACTTGACTTTACTGGCTGAATTTAATCACATTTGAAAACGCCTCATTACGGCTTTCTTTTTCTGCAGATGATCTCAAATTATATATACTACAATTAAAAATGTGCATGTTTTCAGTGTCCTTCAAACCGAACTTGATAACCTCCATACTTGGTGATTCCGAAATCATCTATTCCTAAAAGCCAATAACTGTTATTACTCCGCTTACAGCCCAAAGCTTAAATCCTTCTCTACGAGTTATCATATTTCTTGGTCCCATCCTAAATGCGTTATTGAATTTAAAGAATTAAGTTCCCACTTCAATACGAAATTAAGGTTTTCCATTTCCGTTAACTGCATTGCTTTAAAATCTTATGAGTTGGTATCCTTTCTCCACTCTGAAGATCATTCATATTTCTTGGGTAAAATCTAAACTCGACTATACCTCCCTCTGAAGTCCATAGCATTCTGTATGTAGAAGTTTGCTTCAAGCTTCTATGAATCATGCTATCAACTTTTGAATATAAGACCTCTGCATAACAGGTTTTACTTTTTAATTTGGGGTTCTTACCTTTGAGTGGATCTGCTAGCGTAATCCACGCCCCGTAATGGGAATTAAATAAAATTCCAAATTTTGACCCGTCCAATTATCTTGTGGAGCAGTCCGTACCATATTATATAATTTTACGACGGTAAAAAAAACGACAGAGCTTATCAACAACAACAATACTCAAAGCAAACTAATTAATTTCTATATAGATAGCAAAGCAGCTATAAAATCTATAGGGCCTAATATGACGAACTCAAAAAGTTTGCTAGAATGCATAGATGAACTAAGACGCTTAGGGTCAACTAGGAAAATTCATTTGTACTGGGTACCTGGGATAGGGCCATTGAGGGAAACGAAAGGAAGGATGCTCTAACAAAAGAAAGAGTGCTACTAGAAATTTCTATCTTACTTCTTCTTCATTCTTAGCGCGTAAGCGATTTTGACCGAGTCCAAAACAGCACGCCAGTCGTTTCTCTTCTATGCCAACCGGCGCCAATTGGAAATGCCAAGTGAAGCCAAGTCCTTTTGCACCTGGCCTTTCCTATCTCTCTACAGGCTGGCTCTTACTAAGAAATGCCACTTAGGCATGTTCTAAGAGGCGGATAAAAGGTGGTCACAATAACGTGGATTCAAAGTATTTACGGCCACCCTTCGGTCACATGATTTGAAATTAACAAAACTTATAGTTATACTAACGAGGAATGACTGTAGACTTCTGTTGGGTTCATAACTTGTCACAAATTGTTAGCTAACCACGCTCTTTAACTGGGTAAGGCGAGTAGCGATAACTGTAGGCAGTGCGCTTTGGGAAGGCGTATCTCACTAGCCCTGCGCAAGCTACAAAATATGGGTTCTAAAAAATCGGAACTCATTATGAACATTTACTTTTTTTAGGTACTTTTATCTTGTAACTCTATGGTCGAAAATAGGTGCGTTCGTTTAAAATCTCCAACAGAAACCAACCAACTGCCAAATTCCGGCGAAATGTCATCTGTTCGCTCACAAGAGAGAAATATCCAAAATAGTACGCGAACAGAAAATTTGCAGAAACTTGCAAGTTAGACGAACAGCTGATATATTTTTTGTTTACATACAAAAGTGTAAAATTTAAAACGTACGAAAAGTCATCGCAAAGTGTTACGCTGACACAGTTTATTGATTAAACAAATAACTACTTATTTCTTACAAGTTTAATTAGTCGCATTTTGTAATTTTTATCTTCCAAACTATGAAATTCAATTTTGTGATTTGCGTAAATGCCAACCAGCTGTTTTTGATCAGCTGTTTCCCTGTTGGCAAATTGCTGTTGGCAAAAATTTTTCCAACAGAAACTAACAGCTTCCCCTCAAAATGAAATGTCACTTTGCTCTCTCAATTTCCCCTACTTTGCAAGTTTTTTGCGTACACGAACGCAAAAACCTGTAAGTTTTGGTTAAACATGAACAATTAACAGCTACGCGAACGAACCTATTATCTGTCTATGTGAGACTTTTCGATAGCCACCCAGTTCTACCTAACCTAACCTAATATTTAAGAAAAAAACTGTGCATATCTGCAAATTAGAACTTCGCACCCAATCTGAAGGTGAAGCATATTCACGTACGCCTGTTTTAATGCGTTGTACATAAAATATATACGTATGTACATTTGCGGC